TGATGGGCTGGTTAAAAAAGGTTGTATAGAAATCTGGGACTGTGTACACATCAAAATAATTTCAGCTCCATTTAAAAAACCATTTAGTTCAAGTGTGACATAGATGAACCATTATGCATTTGTGGAAACCAATTTTTTGTGATCTACGATTAAACTAACCTTTCAGAGAGGAGTAAAGTGTGATGGTTATCATGTTTTAAAAGCATTGCCAGGCCGCTGAAACAATTTTAAACTACGACTTTTTCCAGTGGTTTATATGTAGAGACAATTTTCAGAAGAACAGAACCCCGCATCCGTGCCTTCAGCCTGGGTTGCCTTGGTTCTGCTGGTGCCATTTTGTGGGCTGATTTTGCAAAGGGATTTAATGCTAGATTGGACATGCCAGGTTGGAAGGGAGAGTGAACTCTGCTGATGGAAATGAGTAGGTCTTTTGGGTGAAAGACCTAAGACAGCTGCAATTTGCTGAAATTTTTACAACTGCTGCAGAGAATAATTGTTCAGAATTTAGTCTTTATGGTTCAATTCAAAGTTGGCATTTTGACCTTTCGAGGCAGAGAGAATATCAATTTCCTTCTGCTGTCTGTAAGAAAGAGAGCATTATTCCCCCCATTTAAGCCCCTTTCTCTTTCCTTTTAAATTTCTTGCCATAAACAAAAATATCTGAGCAGAATAGTCTTTGTGGTTGGGCCAACCCAGTGAGGAGCTGAGGCTGTTATTGTGCCAGAGAAACAGCTTTTGTTGAGTGGCTTGTAAGATGTAAGTATTTGTGCTCCTGGAGACTTGGTTAGATAGGATGTTCAGAAAATAGAAAGATATTAATGCTCAGAGCATTTAACCAAAAGGCCTGGAGACCAAGGTATTTTATGAAGAGATTCTCCCAAAGGTTTTGGAGGAAAGCACACATTAATGATTACTAGCCATTGGGTTACAATGGGAAGTGTGTCAGTTATGACAATGATGCTTTGCTTTATTGAACTTTGCCTTCCAGAAAGGAAACTGCCAATGGGTGGCTGCAAAATCAGCATAAGGAAGGGTAATCAGAGAAGGAATTCAAATGAGAGCTAAAGTAAATCAGGATAAATCCGAATCCTGAGTTTTTTCTCTTCTCCCTGCTTCAGCCCACATGCCAGGAAGATTTGGGGAAGCTTGTCATTCCGAAGGTGAGAAGGACAGTGGAACTGGCCATGAGGACATCCTCACTGCCAGAGAAAAATAGCCCCATTGATCGGTAAGCTTCTTGTGCATGAGAAGCGTGATGCCATCATTGTGGGTACAATGTGAGACATTTCGCAGTCTGAGGCAAATGGATTAAGAGCTGGATGATAACTACGGACATGGTAGCAAAAGAGCTGATGTTGGAGTTGTCCCTACTTATACCAGCCAGACCATGAGCTGCGGTGTGGTCACAGAGTCCGTGAAGAGGGGCTGATTACCTCACATCCTAGCTGCACATCATTACATAATTTAGCTTAGCTTCAGTTTCTCTTCTGTAGGAACTTCCTAACACTGTTTGGATGAAAGGAGTTAGTACCCATGAAGACTTACCACAGGTTAAGTCTTCAAATACATTAATGTAAATGTGAGCTATTAAGACGATTAGTATTATTAGTAATATCAGCAAGCATTTTAGCATAGTGGCAAAGGTCATAGACTTTAGTTTTAAATTCCACTGTGTGACTTCCTGACTGGGTAATTTTGAGCAAGAATCTGTCCCTCAGATTCTGCACCTTTCAAATGGAGATACTGAAGCATCCTCATCTGAGGTGGAGGTGAGAATTTGAATGAGTTCACACATGTAAAGTGCTTAGAAGAGTTCCTGGCCCATGGTAAGCACAAAGGGGTTAGCACTGAATGCAAGGTTCACATGAATGTGTACTGTCAGGACTGAGACAGGGCGAGCTTGGGCAGTCCCTATCTATAGGTGTGATTGCAAATAAACTGGGGGTGGAATCTGAGATGTATAAACCAAGGCGCTGACTTGAAGAATGGAGATTGTGGCAGTAGTGAGAACAAAGGATTTGGATGGTAGTCTTTGTTTGGAAGGTCAGGAGAGGAAGTTGTGACCCAGGGTTCTGTCTGGGGCATTCAACACTGCGAGCCCCATCGAGCAGCTGTGTCTTGACAGGTGCCATACCCGACCTGCATACCACTGGCCACTTTCATCACTGAGCTCAATTTCTGGCCTTCCTTCAGCCACCAGGCATGCTGGAGGCACGGGCTATTGTGGAGAAGGGTCCCAGTGCTGGCGGGACTGAGCTGCTGGTGACAAGGATCTGAGAAAGGCTCAGGCTGCTCTGTGCAAACAAACCTCTTTCCTGGTTCTGTGAGTTGCCAGTGCTGTGGGATTTAGCCTTTTCACATAACCACTCCCCAGAGAAGCGCATGTTCAAGGGGAATGATGATATAGCTAAGGCATTTGGACTAATTGACCCTCATCTATCTGCACCACAAGCTGAGGCTCAGAAAGAAAAGGCTTGAAAGGAAAAGATTCCATTTGGATAGAGATAGCAGTTGAGAAGAGTAAGAACTAACAAGAAGCAGAAAGCCTCAAAGGCAGCACCGTGTGGTTTCATCTCACATTTCCCAGATACAGGTCAGCATTCACCCTCTATTGGCAGACCCGGGGGTCCCCAGGGGCTCCAATGCACAGGTGCTGCCTCCTTTCCACTCCATAGGCAAAGTGTGGCTACTGAATAGAAAGGAAAGTCATTTGTACCAGAACCAAAGTAATTTACTTAAGGAAATGTTCTCATTTTGCAAATGCTCACCATGACTCCCTCTCTCTTTTAACTCAGTCTAAGGCTGTCATTCACGGGACCGAGCAAACTGCCACTCCCTGGCCCTCTTCTGTGGTCCTCGGTCCAGCCAACACCACAGGGCAGACTTGCTCTCCAACCTCTGGAGTAATGGGGATAATCCTCCACACTTACCTATGCAGTGACTGTGCAAACTCCTGGTGGGAGACACAATCATTGGGGCCCACAATGTGTCCTAACTTCATGTTATGGCAAAGTAGGGGTGAGCAGAAAGGAGCTGATTGAGACATTGATTTTCCCCCTGTCCTGATCCACAGACCCCAAAGCTTCTGAATTCTCCTCTCTCTCTCCTTTTGGGTCCTGTTGCTACAGGAACCTGGCAGGTAGATTTAATTGTCTCTATTGGGATGCAGACACTTTTAGGCTTTTCCCATGCTGAAGAAGAGCCAGTCAAAGGGTTTTGGGTTTTTTGCACCCTCCTTCTTCCCCTCCGCGGTCATCTGGGACCTTGACTATGTTGGCAGGAGGCACAGTCAGTCTGTCTGCTAGCTGACCTTCCAGGTCTGTTCCCTTCCTCAGAGGCTGTGTATGGGACTAGAGCCATCGCCAACAGCACAGTAGTGTCATGAAGCACTACAGACACTTGTTGTGTCTTATTTTAAAGATCAGCCAAAGGGTAAGAAGAATTTATTCAATGATTGAAGGTATAAAAATACTTTGAGGTCAATTTATTTTAAAACATTTATTGATCACCTATTCTGAGTAAGGTTCTGGGTCATAACCTTCAATACTCATAATAGAATTTGAAACTGTTCTCAATTATGGTAGAAAATTAACTGTGTAGACTGGCACTGTTTTTTTCTGTCCATCAGAACTGACAGCAGGAAGGACCCTAGCTAGAAGTCGTCAGGGATGTTGATGATTTCACGATTATCTAAGTCTGGACTGATGCATTACTGGGTCTCTATCCCTGTGCTCATTTCACCCCTTCCAAAGTCTAAGGCAGATTGGACTGAATGGCTTACAAATTGCTTTTCTTCTAGAATGGTGCAGATAATCGAGTTTCTAGCTGTTTTCCTTTTAAATGGACATTCTTTCTCCTCAAATAGCCCTCTTACTTACTACTCTACCTGCTTCTTCTTCTTTTTTTTTTTTTGGATGGGGAAGGGAAAAGTGAGACTTAAAATGAGAGACTTGTATGTGCCTTCTTCCCAAGAGAGCCTGAAAGGAATGGCGACTTTAGGGTCACATGGAAAGCACTGGAGGAGACTCTTCATTCTATTGAGGAAAATATATAACAGTTTTGCCTAATAACATAAAAATAATAATACCTCTCCCACCACTGAATAGATCACATATATACCAACTAAAGTCAACCCTCATTTGTGTGCCTGAAGTCTGGGGAAAATCCCGAAGTCTCATCTCATGTCACAGTCTGTTCCCACTCCATTCCCACCACAATATCATTCATAGAGCTGATAACAGATTGTATATAAAACACATTTTGAATTTACTTCTCTCTATCTGCCCAATCTCTGGTTGGGATTTAATAAATGTCTGAAAAGCATGTGGCAAGAGAAACCTGGGTGATAGAGACTGAATTGTAGCCCCCAGATAACTGGGTGTGGGCTATTGATATGTACAGCAGAACAGTTTTAATTTGGGGTCTTACTGAGCAAACATAAAAGAGACCAATGCTTCTCCCATTAATAACCCTCCTGGTTTAAATCAAAAGAAGGGTAAAATATTAACTGAGAAGCAATTTTGCCAAATAGAATAGTTGTGAACATTCTCCAAAAAGTTCATCACCGGGCACCAGCACTGATTTAGTAGATCTTGCCAAAATAAACACAGAGATGTGGACAGACTGATGGGGCACCAGGTTGGGGTGGTGGAAATGGGGGAAGTGGAGGAAGCTGGGTTTCTGATGGGAAAATGCTTTTGGACTTGGAGCAAGGTACCGAGGTGGGCAGGAAGGCCACGTGCAGATTTAAAGGCAAGCCAGATGGAGAGAAGTTCCCCCAAATGACCCAACCCCAAACCCAAGAACCCCAAAACAAACTCTAAGGGTCTAGCAGTAGCAGCAGCACAGCCTCATTATGCTGAGCAATTTAGAAAGTAGAGGAAGGAGAAGAGAGGTAAGAAGGTTAAAGGAGGGAAATGGGAAGGGAAAAAAAGCAAAATAAAGTAAATAAAACCACAAACAGAACAATAAAAATAAAAATAAACAAACCAATAACAGAATAAAATTTGTAACTCCTTTTTTTTTTTTAATTTCACAAAAGTTTTCACAAGGACAACGTTATAGAAGAAAACCCCCAGCAGTGGCGAGGTCATGCAGAACCATTAATTGTCATACCTTGGCCCATTCTATTCATCCTTGTTGCACTTTAGAGAGAGAAGTAAGCTATGTGAGTTTTACAATGCTTTTAAACTGTCATATTTCCTCTTGAGCACTTTAACTGGCACATTCTTATAGTTATAAATGTTCTGAGGGCATAACTTTATAACCTGCTTTGCAAAGAATGCATGAAGAGCTCTTCATGATCCAAAACTAGGGGCTATGTGTGTGTGTATCTATATATCTATATGTACATATGTGTTTATATCTATAGATATATAGATAGTTAGATATAAAAAAGATAGATAATAGTACATAATATATAAATCAATGTATATTGGGACAAAAATAATTTGAAAAAAAATCTTCTACTCAGAGGGTTTTTAAATTACATATGTATATGATTATCCCCTGCCCCACTACGGGCTTAAATTCTACGTGGCCCTGTCTTCGGTGTGGGAGCAGCGGTTCAGACAGAGCCTTACCATTTTGTCAGTAAAAGTGCTTGTCAATTCACACAGCAAGCAAATCTCCAAAGCTATCATGCTTGAGGGAACAGGGGATCCAAAATCTAAACCCAAACATTCACCATAAAAACACCTTTTTAGAAATAGGACAGCTGTGAGATTTTTCTCCTCCCCTCCACCCCTATTCTGTTTGATGGGACTTTTGAAAGCAAACATTTCAGAGATGTATATACCAGCCCAGGGCTAGTCCAGCCATATAAAAATTTGGTTGTGGTGGAGTTAGCCAGTTTTTAAGAATGACTGCATTGCCTAAAGCATGATTTGCATGCAAAAAATATCTGACAACTGGATAGTGAAATAAAAGGGCATTTTTCTACCTTTCCATTCATGCTCACTCACTGTTAAAAAAAAATGAAAGAAAACAAATGAAAAATATATTATACCAAATATGTTTGGCTCACTGTTGCACTCTTCTCCCCCATTCCATAATGACAAGAAGCCATTCTCTATTATCGTCATTCACCTGCCTAAATGAATTGGCTATGTTAAAGAAATTGATAACAGGAACTCCTCCCACCAGCTTGCTGCTTTGGGACAGCCAGGATCACACAGCCGTGCCGATAGCGTAAGGTGGTAGGTGGGTTTTATCTCCACTGAGTCAACGGTGGCTAGAGCCTACTACATTCTGATTTGTGACATGTCAACTCCTAGAAAAACATGATCTGCTGCTGGGTTCATCTTCCTCTTGCACTAAGGCAGCCCCAGCCCTGGCTTTCACTGGGCGTGGGGCCCTATCTAATCAAACAAAGGGGAGTAAAAGGTCCCCTGAGAATGTGTGGAAAAATACTTGCTCTTTCCTGAGCATTATTTATTCTGTACATAAGGTAAGTAATTCACCTTTTAAAAGATGTAAAAGTCCCAGGAAGGCAGTTTTTAATGACTTACATCTGATATTTATGATACATATGGCTTTTCATCCCAAATGTCAAAAGTGAAAGAAAAAAAAAAAAGCTATTCATATGGCAGCATAGGAGACATACTAAGAATATAATATGCAATCAAACCTCTTTTTACTTAAGCAAAATGACTAGAATCTGATACACCATGAATGGAACACTATTTTCTCCACAGTAAGCTTAGAAATGTTCCTTTCAGCCCCCAAAGGAAGCTAGCTAGCTCTGGGACGAAAGGCCTTGTGAGTTACCAAAAAAAAAAAACAAAAAAAACAGCTATCCTGTGATACCCAGCTGGTACCTGGTCTGCTACACCAATGGTGAAAGCATTTCACACGCTTCACAAACTTCCACCCAGAGACTGGAGGAAATGATGAAGGAAATGATGAATGCATTTTTGTTGCTTGTTCCACATAAATGTGTGCTAACTAATTGTGTGTGCATTTAAAAAAAAAAGAGAGAAGGAAAGGAAAATAACAACAAAATCAAAACCCCAAGCACCCTGATAATCCCAATAAATCAGAATAAAATTTGCCTCAACATTTAACTAAACTAGCTTTGCATAACTGCCACTGATCACAAGTGCGCTCTCCCTATCGGTGAACTCATTCCTGCAGTGAGCTATTTATGTCTGGAGCATGCCTTTGGGTTATCTTTCCCCTAGAATCATAAATAATTTTTGGTCCGTCTGCTTATTTGCTGTTGTGCTCAAGGGTTTTATGGTGGTGAAATAAAAATGACAACCACATGCACACTATCATACATATGCAAATATGTGTAAAAAAAAAGGGAGGGGGGAACTACAGGGGAAAAAGAGGAAAGTTACTGTTGGAAACACCCACTGGGGAAATGAGTGGCAGATACAGTTTCACACACGGTGGCAGTGGATACACATATCAGAGTCGCTCTTCCTGCACGTACTTCTGTTTGTCTCGGGACTCCCGGGACTTGGGCCGGTTCTGCCGGTTTGCTGTGGACGGGATGGAGTGAACCGAGGAGCTCTTCTTGCTGGAGGACTGGGACGAGTGGGAGGAATGGGAGAGGCTGGCCCGGGACTGGCCGGCGTTGTGGTCAAACTGCATTAAGCAGAAGATCAGGTCCGTCGGTACAAGTTCAAACTCGTATGGGGGGTTGGTGATGACATACCTGGACAGGAAAGCAAAGAGGTCACAGCTGAGGATGAGCAGGTGGAGAATTCACTTCTGTCTGAACTGAGGTCTACGATTGGATATGGGAGATGGACTTCTAGTTAATCTGAGCCCTTATAAATTATCTTCTGAGTTGAACTAGATCCTTCTCTTAAGCTCAACAGAGGAAGCCAGCCAGGAGCCTGGAAGAGATGCTGAATTAGTGCTGGTAACTGGAAAACCAAACTGTTTACCATGGTCTTTGAGGCCTGTTCAGTAGGCTCTCAAGTCCACTTCTGGGCCTGTGACACCTAACTGTATGCAAGAGGCTGCATGCACTGAGCCTTTCTAGAATGTTCTGATAATCCCAGATAACCATCACAGGATCTTTGTTTACCATGACCTTCTTCACTCTTAACCTTTGAAAAACTAGCTTTAGTACGTAACTAAAGGGAAGATTGGAAAATACCTCCCTGACTCATTATCAGCCCTGTTTTATCTTAAATTTTAACAAGTTACCTCTGGTTAACACCAGATATCACCCAGGAAGTCACTCTTTCAGCTACTGTAATGGACCTCAGAGTGTGATCCTCAGGTCAGACATATCAGGATCACCTGGGAATTACCAGAAAATGCAAGTTTTTAGGCAACCACACCCCAGACCTTGGGCACCAAGCAAGTTATGTTTTAACAAGCTTTGCAGATGATTCTCATGCTCACTGATCTTTGAGATTCCACTATTCTCAACTCTGGGTATACCTGTCATGTATGAGTATGTGTCCAGACTGCTGCCTTCATAGAGGGTGACAGAGGAGGGCAAGTCTGTCTCTGCCATCAGAGCAAACAGGAAAAAAAATCTCACCTCTTTGTGCATTGGCTGGGGGTGCTGAGGTGAGCATCTCTCAACCGGTAAATTCCAAAACAAAGCATGTTATATGTTTTCAGAGCTTTGCAGAAGAGATCACCATAACAACCACCATCCTGGGAGACAACAAAGAACATAGAGAAACATCATTGTATTTATTTGCCTGGAATTTGAGGTCCTGGGGGGAAAGAGCCTTTGTGTGAAAGCTTGTTTTGGTTTTTCCCAAGTGGGACGGACTTAGCTGAGGGACATCAGTTGAGAAGTCAATGTGAGTTGACTGCCTATACCCAATATTGGTGATATTTAGGGATCAGATAATAAAGAGTTTTCCCTCCATTGGCTCTCCAATTTTCTCGTGTCTGTAGCAATGAGCGCTTCAAGGAGATCAACATTGCCCTTACTTTATGTGAGGGCGTAAAGCCCAAAGGTCTCAGATGTGTGCTCACCTGAGAAGAGGCCAGGTCGGTAAAATAATGATTATGTTTAGCTTCAGCTCAGCTGTAATCGCCCTGATCTCACTGTTTTGTCAAAACTGCTTAAGTGATAATTAAAATCACTGCAAGGAGAAAAGACCCCACCAGGTACTATGGTGACAGACTCAGGTAAGGACTGTGTGAAAAGCACAATTTACAGACCTCAGGGAAAGCAAGGGAGGAACAGAATGTGTTTCCCTGGGAGCTGGAGGTCCGCAGGCTGAATAACGGGATTCACAGCTCTAATCAGTTCACAATCACCTTCCACGGGTCTGGGGCCTGATGCTGACTGTGAAAGCAAATTCACTCACTTGGAAATGCTGGCTTCATGCAGCCAGGTGGCTTCAGGTGAGCATGATTATAGGAAGGACACTGAGGGATGCCTTCACTGGGAATAATGTGGCCTCATTTGTCCTTCCTGCCTTTGGGATTTCATAGGGGCAGCATACTAGAGAACACAAACAGTGTCACACCTCCCATTGCTTATAGCCTTTATCCTATTAAAATATATCAGTAAGTAAATTATAGATTAAAAAAAGAGCCACACGCTGTGCAAGCTGCCTTTCAGATCCCTGCTCCTAACCAAAGTAAAGTATGGTGCAGGTTGACATCAGGGCTTCAGAAGAAATGAATAAAGAGACTCTTGTCTAGGCTCCTTCCCCGCTATTTGGAAAATACTTGGACTTTCTAGGTGATGCTATTGATTATGCAAAGGGTTTACTGGTTCCTACAGCTTGTGGGCACATCCCTTAAATGCATTTATGGAGATGGGCTGGACCAGAGTCAGGACTGCATACTCCTGCCAGAGTGGCTGAGCCAGCCTGATGTGTGAAGCCCAAGGGGAGGTTTGATCGCCACTGCCATGGGGAGGGAGAGGGCAAGAGCATCCAAACACTGATGTTACAACATATAGATCTGGAATTTGAGACACGGAAGACTCCATGAGAGATGTTTTTGATCGGCCAGGGGGTCTGGATGACCATAATAACCTGTGGTTTCAAAACCACTGGTGTTTGGGTCATAGCCTAGGGCAGTGCATGATCATCGTTTGTTGTTGTTGTTTTTTAAAGATTTATTTATTTATGCATGCAGAACTGGGGTACAGGCCAGAGTTGCAGGGATGGTGAGAGGATTAACCAGAGGCAGAGTATGGAACAGAACAGGCAGATCGTCAAAGTACACTGCTGAGGGGAGCAGCGGGCAGGTCAGAAGAGGTCTGCCGTAGAGGGGTCACCTCCGGGGCTGGGGATCCAACTCATGCTGAAGTGGCTTTAGCTTCTCAGTGTTGTGCTTTAACCCACTGCACCACCAGGGAGGACCCAATCATCATGGTTGTTATAGCTCCTCATGGACTATTAGGGGTAAGCAGCCCTGAGTTATGCTTAGTGCTGTGGAACAGGTTTTCAACCTTGAAGGAAGGTTGAAATCACCTGCTGCCTCCCATTTCTTGGTAGGAGGTACCTGAGAAGCAAGCCCTGGGTTTTGAGGCCAGAATTGCCGATGGTGAATCTTCTGTGTCTCTCAACCTCAGTTTCCTTAGAGAGTATACACATGGAGTCTATGTCAAAGGGTGGCCATGACGATAAAATGATAACCATGTGTGAGTACAGTCCTGACATACAGCAAACCATAGCCATTACCTCTTATTCACCGCAGAAGGTAGACGCAGTCTACCTTCTCTTCATTTCTTCTGAAGACCTGATGTCAACTTGCACCATACTTTACTTTGGTTAGGGGCAGGAATCTGAAAGGCAGCTTGCACAGCTTGTGGCTCTTTTTTAAATCTATGATTTACTTACTGATATACTTAAAAGGGTAAAGACTGTAAGTGATGGGAATTGTGACATTGTGTTCTCTAGTTGTCACTGTCAGAAACCCCATCCATCTAGCCCAGAAAGTGGCTTCCGATGACCCTGGGGCCCTGAACTCACCCCCAAGTCTGCAAAGGGGCCGTCCAGCAGTGCTAGCTGGGCCACGCGGCAGCGGTCCCTGTTGGCCAGTGTCTGGGGTGTGCTGTAACCCCCTCGCAGGGCATTCTCCTCAGCAATCAGCGCCTCAAGCTCCGGCGTGGCTCCTCCCGTCACCAGGGTCCGTATCAGAGTAAGGATATTGTCATTGAAGTACGTCTGGGAAGAGAGAGGGGGAGAAAGTCCTTTAAGCAATCACCCTAAAGTCACGACAACCGACATCCAAATTACAACTTTTCTTGGTATCTCCTGTTTGAAGTTCTGGCCTGTCTCTTCAAATAATTTTATGTGGGAAGTGAAAAGACAGCAGCCTCCAATTATTCCATTCTTTTCTCTTCTACTTGGTTCTGCCACAAGAGCTTGACTTTTAAAAACCAATTCAGGAGACTTTTTATTAAAGGGCTAAAGTGGTATTTACCATAATCGGAGTTAGGGGAGGACATACTACTTCCCTTCTTCAAGCCCCGCTGTGAAGGGACTTTGGACATGCACAACAAAGGGCAGTCTACACAGGATGCACCCCCCCCACCCCCCACATAGCTCCAAGAGCCTGTCCCTCACATGCCAGGAAGCTGCCTCTCACAACTATGGCAAACTTCTCTCTGTGCTGGAAGGAGATGCCAAGCACAAAGTCCACATGTTCAACAATTTATCACAAGCTTTGGTAACAGTCTAATCCAGAAGTCTCTATCAATTAAATATACCAGATAAATTTCTGACAACGTGGATGTTCTGGTGTGTGCATTTTGGGCTTCATATTTTAAAATAACCTCAGCAGTGTGATGCAAAAATAGCTTATTAAAGAAGATTCCTTCTATGTGTACATCTGTCTCACATCTGAAACATAACAGTTCTGTCAGGAACAAAACAATGGGAGTTTAAAAAAAATTAATAGGATGTCAAATAAAAGAGCTCAGAAAGACATTTGTCACCTAGCATGATTTGAGAAAATCTCAGTTAAGGGTCTGCATTCCATTTTCCACTGTAAGAAGAAATCAAACAGGCTAAAATAAAATCAAACCAAATTTTGCCTGTGGCTTTTGAGGATGGATGTACCTTTGAGAACAGATTAAAAAAAGTCAGCAGCAATTTTATTTTTATTTCAACAATTTCTCACACAGTTTACCTGCCAAAACATAGAGGGTTATAGACCATGTAAGGAGTTCTTATCCTGCCTTACCAACATTAGCTTTATGCCTTGGGGAGCTGCCTAATTGTTCTGGGCTTCTATTTTCTGTTCCATCCAATAAGGATAGCCTTGAAGGTCATATATGCAAAAAATGCCATGAGACTCAGAGTTCGAATGATAGCTATAGTGGCGATAGGTTCACTTCCCCACTGAAATACTTGCAAAGACACCCAATTTGGTACAAAATTCCAACAGTAAAGGAAAGTAGAAATATTATTTATAGCCTCTTAGGCCCTAAGAACTATATCTTCCATGAGAATACTAGTGTGCCCCGGGCAGAGAAGCAGAGTATCAAAAATGAAGGAAGAAATGTTGCTGGCTTGCTGAAGGATGAGAGTCAGGCTGTGGCTTCACGCTGACTTCACAACTCAGAGCCTGTGTGAACTTCCAAAGTCACTTATCATGTCTTTGCCTCAGTTTCCACAAGCTGTAAAATGTAATCATAGGCCCTCCCTGGTGGCGCAGCGGGTTAAAGCACTGCACTAAAAAGCTGAAGCCACTTCCGCATGAGTTCGATCCCCGCCTGCCCCGGAGGTGACCACATGGTGTGGCAGACCTCTCCTGACCTGCCCGCTGCTCCCCTCAGCAGTGTACTTCATCTATCTGCCTGTTCTGTTCCCCGCTCTGTGTGTGGTGAATCCTGTCACCATCCCTGCACCTCTGGCCTGTATCCCAGTTCTGTATACATAAATAAAAAAAATTGAAAAAAAAAATGTAATCATAGAGTGGTGATAAGGACTGTATGATAATACATATGAAACACGGCATCAGATACACGGGGGCTTTGCTATGAGAACAATCAATTCATTTCCAATCTTCTCTTTTAATTTCCCTAGGATTCTTTTTTTTTTTTTTTTTTTTTTGAGGATGGAGTATAGTAAAAACCAAGGGCCTGGATTGCATCCTTGAATCTGCAATTCTTAATCTGCCCCAATCAAAGACTCCATTAAGATTCGGGAACAGCAGCAGAGATCAGGGCCTGCACCAGCGAAGTGAAAGCATCAGCAGGAGAAGCCGCCCACACGTCTGCTAGTGGTGCTTGGCTTGGAGAACATTTACAAACATGTCCAAAGTTTTCAGAAGTAAACCCTCCTTCCTACATCAGAAACATCATTAGCAGCAGTAGATCTGCCTACGTCACATAAGTGCTGGACACAGAACTTTGACGAGGGCATTTGGGCTTCTGATTTCCCTTGTAGATCAGGATGGGGCCGGGAAGAAGGGGAGTCTAATAGCAACCAAGGAGCATAGCAAAGTATTTCTGATCTCATATACTGAAACACTTGCTTCTCCTTACTTAAACATAAAGAGAGGCAAGTGGAGACAATGTAAATATGTTTTAATATAGGAAACCATGAAATGCAAGATAAAAAGGAAGAACATTTCTTGACTTGTTAGATGGTTACTGGACAATGCAAAAGAAAAATTTAGGAAGCATTTGTTTTGGAAGAAAAATCATTAAAAAGTATAGAGAGTATTTGTAATAAGTAGAAGGATTAGATGATGAGAAAGCTGACTTCATCCATTTATCCAATTGTTTATTTAAAATATTGAAATTAAAATGAATGTGATAAAAATAGTGAAAAGAATTCAATAACCTTTCATGATAAGACACTCAGAAAACTAGGAACTAATGGGATATTTCTGAATTTGATCAAGAGTATCTATGAAAAAAACCCACAGTTAAATCAGACTTAATGGTGACAGACTGGACATAGTCTATTATGATCAGAACAAGAAGAGCAAGATGGTGCTTAAGACTTCTATTCAATAAAGCACTGGAGGTACTGGTCAGTATTAGAAAGAAATAAAATGCATCAGAAAGAATGAAGTTAAACTACCTTTAAGCACAAGGAACATGTTCTTGCACATAGGAAATCCTCAGGAATCCACTAAAATGCTTTTAAAGGTAATAAATGAGTTTAGCATAACTGAAGAATTAAATATCAATAAACAGAATCATTTGCATATACATTTTCTTGAAATGACAAATACAAGAAATCAGCAAAACAATTTCACTTACAAAAGCCTCGCAAATAGGAGATGAATAAACTTAGCCACAAGGTATAAGAATGGTACACTGAAAATTACAAAATACTTGTGACAGAAAATCTAAATAAACGGAAAGTTCATGGATTTAAAGGCTTGAAAATATGATGATAATAGTCCCTCAAACTACAGATTCAATGTAGTTTCTTTCAAAATCCCAAAGAACATTTTTGCAGAAATAGAAAATATAATTATAAACAATCAAAACCGTCTTGAAAAAAAAAAAAAAAAGAAAGTCAGAGGACTTGTACTTCCCGATTTCAAAACATACAACAAATCTACTGTAATCAAGAGAGTGTTCTATTGACAGAAGGATAGACATATAAGCTATTAGAATTGAATTGTAAGTTAAGAAATAATCTTATACACTATGGGCAACTGATTTTCAACAATGAGGCCAAGACTATTCAATGGACAAAGAATCTAATCTATTAAAGAAAAGGGACTGCAAACATTGGGGGGTCCATATTTAGAAGAATAAAGTTCGAACTGGACCTCACACCTTGGGCAAACTAAAAAATTTATAGAAGACCCAAGTAGAACATCTAAAATTATAAAACACTCAGAAGTAAATATAATAATATGTTTTCATGGCTGTTGGTTTGAAAATTATTTCTTAGATATGAATCCCAACATATGATAGTAAAATTAAAAAGTTGAACATCAAACTGCAAATTATAAAATAACTAAGCTCTGGAGATGTAACATGCAGTATGGTGATATAATACAAATTTGTATTATTTGTATTACAAATTTGTATTATATATTAGAAAGTAGATTTTTTAAAATTCTCACCCCTAGCTCCTGAGATTGTACCTATGTGAAGTGATGGATGTATTAACTACACTGACTTCGGTAAGCATTTGCAATATATCAAATATATCAAATTATTACATTGTACACCTTAAATTCACACAATTTTGTAAGTCAGTTAGAGCTCATTAAACATGAGGGAGTGTGGGGAGGAAGCAAATAAATAGTTCAATGCAAAAACAGCAGCTACAAACGATCTGATGAAAATATAGCTCAATATATAAACTGATCTCAGGACACCTGATAGTTCTCTTCTTCTACAAGCAATATGTAATCATAAAAAATGTAAAAAAAAAATCACAAAAAAAATATTCATTTACATGGCCACAGTCATATTAAATGCTTATTCACTTCAAAACTATCACAAACACAATTAAGGGACTCTGAGGGAAAATGACAAGCATATACAGAGGGCACGAGATGGCATTAACCCACCAGAGGTGGTTGTGAAAATTGGTATGGAAGCTTCTGGGAAATAATCTGTCTATTAATATGTATCAAGGACTTTAAATTGTTCATAACTATTTTATAAAATAACAGCAGATTTACTTCAGGATAATAAGTTGCTACTCAAAAATATAGTTCAAAAATATATAATGTTTATCCAGGGTTAGATATTACAATAACAAAATATTTAAAAAGCTAGCTAATTACCCACCAAAAGAGCGATGTTTAAATAGATTCTGGAACATTTATAAGATGGAGTTCCAAGAAGTCCAATGGAGACTTGGGAAATTATGACATCCAAGGATATGACAGGATAAAATGCTCTGACTAAAATAATGGCTAAAGAGAAATAATAAAACAACCAAGATATAAATCTGGATAATCCCATATTTACCTATCCATCTGGAAGGAAATGCTTCAAAATATTAACCAGGCTTATTTTTGTGTTTTGGGACTCTAGGGCATTTACATTCTCTTTAAATGTTTCTGTACTTTCTAAGTCTTTCACTCCCAGCCTGAATAGCTTTTCTAATAAAAACAACTAATGCTTTTTAAACAAAGATTACTATAAGATCTACTTTGTAATCATAAATCTAGAAATTCAACATGAAAGGATATGGTTTGATCAGATCTGTAAGATTTGACCTTAGCTGGTCTCCCC